CGAGTAGTTCGTGTTCTTGCAAATTTAAGGCGAATTCCGCAAAGATTAATGTTTGGGCGCAAAAAATTTGTCAGGACGTCAGTCAACCTTTCGCTGATTTGTGCCTCAATTTTTTTAAAGCTAAAAATAAGCCTTTTTTCTTTTTCAATATATGAATTTTGGACTTATCAAGACTATAAAAAACCCTGAATCTGATCAGTTGGTTATTTACTAGAAAACCCCAGGGAACAGTAGATGCATCGCGTCACTTTGCATGAGTTAAAAATCCAAATTCTTAGGCTTGTTAGGAATTTGAGAGTTTGTCGTTTCGTTGTGGAATTCCAAAACTAGTCCAAAACCGTGCATGAAATTGCATGTCAGCACAATGTTTAAGTTGACTCTTTATTTCTGGTTGTTTATCCGGGACTTTTATAGCAAAATTGCTCTAAAAAATCTCCAACTTTTAGCTTTTATGTTTATCAAATAATATATCAGGTCCGGATGCAGAACTCAGCCTTAGATCAAAATGCAAAAGTTTCATTCTATTTTAGGACTCATTTATATTTTCAGATTACAGCTTCTTTGTTTCTGTGCTTCTGTTCAAGTTATTAAAACAAATTAGCACACAAATAAAGTTGATTATGAATGTGACGTAGTGTATTGTTGCATAAATTATTTAATTAGAATTATGCGAAAACGAGACGCAGCTTAGAACCGAAGGGCCTGCGAAGCTCCCCCGACGTGTAGTTGTGTCCCAGCAATATCATTAACATGAAAGATACCTCCCAATAGCATGTTTAATATTGAATGCCTATACCTGTTCAGGCAGTTTTGGTTTCTTGGTATAAAATAGCATTTTAAAGTGAACCTTTATGCTGACTGAGTTATGTAATAGAAACAGAAAGCTGAGAAAAGAATTAGAAAGGGATAGTATGAACTTAGGTTGTGATAATATGACAAATTTCAAAAACAATCTGCTAGGGTTTTTTATTTTTCGCTCTAAACTGTCTCACCTCTTAACTAATATATATTGTCAACGGAAACCCGAATCTTTGCAGTATCTTGTATGCAAAATATTTTCCCTGATAATCCACATTTTTCTGAACGGAAAAATTTGAAACATGTAGCCCTACTGTTATCCAAGTTGTTTCGCACTGCGAACTTTCGGAGAATTATTTACTATTTCCAGTAGGACCGTGCGCTATTGAATATTCGTTTATGGATCAGCAGCATGATCCATACGATGAGCCGACAGCGGACGAGCTGGTCGAACGACACCGTAATATCCATTCAAGTTCAACAACACCGCCCACCCCAAAACGACCACCGTTGACGGTCAGTTTAATGAAAGTTTCTGGAAAAATTTGCATGAGAGCATGAGAGAGGTCTAGAATTGTTCTTGTTTCCAAATTTCTTTCATGACAGCCATTTGTTTGTGCACGTTGACCATTCGAGTTCAACGGCGTTTTCAACCCAAAATGACCACCGTTAACAGTTACTTTCATTGCAGTTATTTAAAACAATTTTAAGTGATTCTCAAATGAAGGCTCATCAAAAGCATCGCCGCGAGTAGTGTTTGTTGCTAGTATCTGTCATTCTTGAGATACCTTGAGTGCCTCCGCTTCTTGTAGGGGAATTGGTGGGAAGGGCTTTTCACTTCCGACTAAAAATTTGTACATATACAAGGACGTGTTTCTATCAATATAAATAAAAGAATGGATGGGGAAAAAATGTGAAAGGGCCAGTGTTACTGGCCTGTTAATACGCTGAAGAAGGAGTCCTGAACGGGCCAGTGTTGATTTGCTGTAAAAGTGACCGTCACCAAGGGACCGAATATGAAATTGGATTTATACGGATGAATTATGTAGGCGGCTTGCAGTCAGTGGTACCTGCCTGATAGGGCCACATTCTTATTGCTGGGACCGGTGGTACCAACTTGCTAAGCTACATTCACCGTGCTTGTAACTTGTGATGCTAGCCCACTAAACCATATCCGTGTTGCTGAAAGTCGTTGGTACCAGCCAATCAGGCCAAATTCGTAGAACTCATAACTAATACAGGTGATGAAACGTGGGAACAGTATTGTGAGCAGCGTGGATAGCTGTTCGTCACCGATCTGCACTTTTGGACGTGATTATGTCTATTCGCTGCACCAGAACGTGAAATCGTCGTTGTTATATGGGAAGAATAACGTGACAGTAACGATATCACCAGATGGTCCGCCACTAAAGGGATATTTGTCGCTGCATCAGAATTCACCGGGTAACGTAACCGTCAAGTGGACGCCAAATCAACTGATGCATTCAAGGTGCTGGGAAAAATTTTTCTTCTATGTTTTATTGAAATTTAAGGATAGTGGGTCAAAAAGAAGCGTTAGGTGGCAATGCGTACGAATTGTATATTTTACACCTAGCTTTCCTGTACATACATTTTACGACTTTATGTTTATGATACATAGAGAAGTTGTGGGTGATTATGGTCGACATTAAGCCGAGCAACTCAGAATCTCGACACTCTTGCCAACGAACGATTTTTGTCAACAAGTAGTCAAAAAATTGGCCTAATTCCAAATGCCGCTACTCATTAAGAATGAACGCGAAAGGGGTATCATAAAGTATATCTTCCACTCTTTTTCAAAATACAACCAGTTTCCGTAAGATTATAGACTGGGGAAATAGTAATAACCAGCGGTAATAATACCTGTGCAACTTCGTTAGCGAGGGCTTTGTTGGTTTTCAAGATGGGCCTAACGGCCTCAAGCAATCCTGGGGTTTGAGAAAGTTGCTTTGCAGCTCGCAGCCGTCATCTGCATCCTATGAACATCATGCATGCGATAACAATTGGTTATGGAGGCATACACTGAACATAAGCATCAACGATATTATCTATGTCCACATACATCAGTATGGTTAGTTTGTTTACTCATTTTTATGTGGCGTTTTTGCATAAACCAAAACATTTTGCAACAAAATTGTGTTTTTAAGCGTTTTTGCTGTGCAGCGCTATAGTGCTGCTACAGCCAGCAAAAACGCACCTTGTCGAGAGGCAGTCTGTGTTTGTGTGTGGGTTCGGGAAGCGAGTGCATTTTGTCATCCACTTTCATCTTAGCAACCAGGAAAGCTGGGAGGCTGAAACTT